ACTTAAACACAGTTAACTTTAAACCATTTACTCACCAGCACAGGCAAGAGTAACTTCAAGGAGCAGAAGAACTAGTTTGGACTTTGACTGATAAATTGTTAAATGAAAATTTGCCTCGACTCAAGGTTATAAATTCCAACCAATAGATTTTTTAGGCCAAGTGGAACATCACCAATCACTGTGAGGTTTTCTTAGATTGGATTGATGAAAGTGAAAACAAAATGAATTCAGACATTATAAGTATGAAGGGAAAATGTTTAAAGGGGTCATATGATGCTGCTAAAAAGAACATTATTTGGTGTATTTGGTGTAATGAAATGTGTTTATGCGGCTTAAGGTTAAAAAAACACATTATTTTCCACATACTGTACATTATTGTTTCTCCTCTATGCCCCGCCTTTCTGAAACGTGTCGATTTTTACAAAACTCATCGTTCTGAAAAAGCGAGGCGTGCTGTGATTGGCCAGCTATCCAGTTGTTGGCCGAATTCCTCAAGCGTGTGACGGAAATGTTACACCCCTCACCATACTGTGATGCTGTGTCCGGCCGGAGCGATGATTAAAAAACTTTAAAACCCATTATAAACGAGCCATTCGTTGCATCCAGTGGGGACATAATTACGGATTATAATGACCTATACTGTCTTTTTATGCATTGCGTTGCATCGTGCCGCGTAAACATAAAACCATGTCTGCATTTGTGATCGGAGAAACGACAAACAACAAGCCAAACTCTGCACTGCCAAAAAAACTCGCTTTAAATATATAAAATATAAAAACTCTTTAAATATAAAAAACATACTTACAGTCTGTGAGTCAGAACAGCCGGCATTGTAGTCTACTCTCCCAGGATCAGGAAACAGTCCTCCATAAAATGTGCTGCACACATCTGAATATTTGGGTTGAACTGTTCTGGAACAGTGTTGTAAATACAACTTAACCACTGATTTCGGCCTTGAGTGAGCAGAGACCGGAGGCTAGAGTGAGCGGCGGCGGGAGGGCTTGCGGCAACCACATGTGACGACTCCGGGCTGGACTCCGCTTCGTCCACGGTGAAAGCCGATCCGGTGATCCACAGCGCGAAGTTGTTGTATTCCCTCAGCGACCAGCACGGATCAGCTCCAGGGACGATGAAGCGGATATCGTCTTCTTTTGGAAGACCAAACAAAGTAGTTTCGCTTTCACAACGAAACACACAGTGTCTTCACAACATGGCGGTGGCGTCAACAATACTACAGCGAGAATAAAAGTTATGCCTTCTTTCTTTGCGTGAACATTTGGGCGGCGTTATGCAAATCTACCCAGATAGTGATGTAGACATGTGGGGGCGTGTTATAACGAGCCGTTTTAGGTAGGCGTGGCTGACTCTGAACTTTTATAAAGAATATCTCTTTGGATTTGAGACTTTAGTGTTTGCAACTTTACAGATCTTCTTAATGCACCAAGAACTTGTAACGCTCCAAAGAGAAAGGAAAAATTGAAATCGCATCATATGACCCCTTTAAATAAATAAAAAATACAATAAATAAATCTACAAATTTGTGCATGAATGATAATTTGAATAATTAAATTAGTAAAGGAAGGAATAAAAATGGGTTTTCATTTTATAGTTATCTTTTTCTTTAATTGTTAAGTTATTTGTGTATGAAGATATTTATGTTTTTATTTTTTTGCTAACGAGAGGATTTCATTAGTAGGCAGAATTTATGACCATTAGCTGGTCACGTCGAAGAAAGTCTAGTCAAAAGAATCTCTCGAGTCAAGAAGTGCCAAAATCAGACTTTATTGACCAAAACAACAAAGCCGAGATTCCAGCAGATCATCTAACAATCTGACATGTAACTCTCTTTTTTAAATATACATTTATTTCCAACCTGTATGACCAATGAACGTACAGTTGGGTGTTTCCCAAATTTTATTAAAAAGCATCCCCAATTCTGAGCCACAATTATTTACCAAACGCTCTGGCTTCTCTTTAATGGTGGCGTGCTGCCAACCGCTCTATTAAAAAATAAATAAAATGAATCTTTAATTAAGAAAACATATTAAAAACATACACCAAGAGAGCAGTTTAATATAATTTGACTGGTGCATGTTTGTGCTCTGATTGTTTTCTTCACATTATAAAGTTTCTGAGTCGAAAAAGTTGCTGAAATTAAACATTTCATCCAGATTCCTGCAGTGTCCAGATTTCATTAATTCTGTTTCCAGGCTATACTTAACAACAATGTACTATATATATATTAAAACTCTACCACACGGTCACTGAAGTGAGCTTCTGTAGGTCTCCCGTCCCCTGCACGGCG